TGTGTGTGTGTGTGTGTGTGTGTGTGTGTGTGTGTGTGCCTGCCCCACAGTGCCTGTGTGGAAGTCGGGACAACTCGAGATATTGGTTCTCTCCTTTCCATCATGGCGGGTTTTAGGGCTGAATTCAGGCCATCCATCATGCTGGCAGCAGGCACCTTACCCCACTGAGCCATCTTGTTGGCCCTAAAGTGGGTTTCTTGCAGGCAGCATGCACTTGGTTCTTTTTCTCTGCTTTCAGTGAGTTCTCCCAGCTGTTGTTTGTCTGAAATGTGTTTCTGTCAGCATAGTTTGTGAAGGGTATCTTCCCTGACAACTAAGCACACCTGGGCAGTTGTCTCTGAGAAGGAATTCCTTTCCTTGAAGCTTGCTGTTCATAGTGGTGGGTCAATGATCCCTACCTAGTGTGCCCTTTGTTTTCAGTGTTAAGAAGGAATTTCCCCACATTCCCAGTTTTCAGCTCTGTGGTTCTTCTGTGTTCTGATATGGATTTCTTTTTCCTCACGATTGTATCCCTTCCAGTTGTCTGAGCCTCTTAGAATGTGAGCATGCGGTTTGTGTCGTGTAGATTATGCGGCTTGTATCATGTGTTGATTATTCTATTTGTGTGGTGTGTTGATTATGCTGTTTGTGTGGTGTGTAGATTATGCTGTTTGTGTGGTGTGTTGATTATGTGGTTTGTGTGGTGTGTAGATTATGTGGTCTGTGTGGTGTGTAGATTATGTGGTCTGTGTGGTGTGTTGATTATGTGGTTTGTGTGGTGTGTTGATTATGTGGTTTGTGTGGTGTGTAGATTATGTGATTTGTGTGATGTGTTAATTATGCGGTTTGTGTGGTGTGTAGATTATGCAGTTTGTGCGGTGTGTAGATTATGCGGTTTGTGTGGTGTGTAGATTATGTGGTTTGTGTGGTGTGTAGATTATGTGGTTTGTGCGGTGTGTAGATTATGCGGTTTGTGTGATGTGTAGATTGACCACCACTTCCTTGAGCCTCCTGGCAGCTCCAGGTGTGGATGTCCATTGCTTGCTATTGCCTCACAGGTTTTCCTTTATCTCTATGTAAAAAGTCGCTCCCATTTCCTCCGGCCATTTGCTTGTTAACACTGTTGTGACTGCCTGTCCAGAACACGGGGTTGTGTTCATGAGAAAACCCAACATATCAGCTCCTGCTGACTCAGAAAGACAGACTGCAGAGGGAATGCCTAGAGGGCAGGCGCCCCAGGCTGCTTTAAAGGGGTCATGTGATCTGTTCAAGTGTTCGCGCTGCCAGAAACAGCCATGTGCCATATTTGTACACCCAGAAAGAGGAAGTTACCCTCAGACTTAAGACGCTGGAGATAACAGCTTCATGTTTGGTGAAATGTGCTAGGTTTGGGTTAGGAGGTGCTACAAGAAAAGCTGTGTGTTGTTCAGAGAGTGGCTCTGATCAGGTCCCCCGAGTCTGTGCATAGCTTGAGGTTCTTGTGGGAAGCCATGGATGAGCTGATGGCGCCAAGATGTCCACTTTACCACAGAAGGTGACGCCTCGGTCTCCTCGTCCTCCTCCTCACCGCGCTCATGCTCCCTGGGTTTCCTTCCTGGGTCCGTGTTACTTGTTAAGATACAAGAGTTAAAAATGGAGAGCTTATATTTTTTAAAATGGAGTAGGAAGAATCTTTTTAAGTATGACATAAATTAGAAAAATTATAAAACATTAATCAATTCAGCTGCTTGAAAACATGGTTTGCATGTGGCGAAAAGGAACAGCTGCAAACTCGGGTTAAAGGTCAGGCATCGTGTGAGAGACCCGCAGCTCAGCACCTGGAAAATAAGAGCAGGAATGTCAGGATGTCACAGTTAGTCTTGGCTGCATAGACAGTTCCAGGCTAGCATGGGTTACATGAGCTCCTATCTAAATAATAACCATATATTTAAAACCACATGAGGCTGGTGCGATGACTCATCAGGTAAGGGCACCTGCCACTGGACCTGGTTGGTGAGCACAGCCCTCATGGAAGACAGAACCGACTGGCACAAGTTGCCCTCTAACTTCCTGTGTGCTGTGACGTAAGTATACATGCACATACACATGCGTCACATGCATGTGTGTTTGCACACACACACAGAGAGAAAGAGAGAGAGAGAGAGAGAGAGAGAGGAGAGAGAGAAATAATAAATAAATGTGAATTTGTTAAAGCCTGAGAAAGTAGTAGTGGGAAGATTATATTTTTATAGTGTACCCAGTAAAGAGCTAGTGTCTTACGTGACAGAAATAAGCTCCCCACAGCAATATGAATGGGCAGGATATGCACTTGTGCCGCTTGTTAGTCTAGCTGGGCTGGAGACGCCGAAGTCCTGGCTGTGGGGCAGGCTCTTCCGTCTGGGCTTCTCTCAGTAGCTGCTGTCTCACTGGAGCAGTTACCGGGCTTGCCCTCTGAGCCCTGCTCCAGCCTTCTAAGCCCTTTCCAGACCAAATCTCCAATCTTTCCCAAGCTATTCCCACAGCCATACAACTTCCAAAGGCCTTGGAATCACACGGTCAGGGCATTTCCTTCACTGTGACAGAATATATAAAGACCTGGGCTCAGTTTCAGCCATTTCATCCCTAGGTGCCTGGCTCCGATTTTGGGGGGTATGTCGTCAGGACACCCTGGGAAGGGGCAGCTTAAGAAGCAAAGCTGCCCACATTGTGGCAGCCGGGACACAGAGGGGAATCAGGGAATCACTTTATAACAAAATCCCCTGCTTGAAATCCATGAAGCCAGGAATCTGAAAATACATTAATTCATTCATGAAATCAAAGCCCTCATGACCCATCATCTCCTTGAGACCTCACTGTGAGCTTGGCTGCGCTAGGGACCGAGCCTTCCACACAGAAAATCCAAACCCTAGCAGCAGGCATCAGTCCATCATTTCTGCTGAGTTTGGGTGATAAAAGCAAGATTCAGCATGTCATGTATGTGTGTGCACACGTGTGTGGAACACAAGAGCACATTTGACAAGCAAATGATTTTGTGTGTGTGTGTGTGTGTGTGTGTGTGTGTGTGTGTGTGTGTGTGTGTGTGTGTTGGGGGTATATGGTACCTTCAATAGGCACACAAGCCAAATGATTGCTGCTGCAGGACCTTCTGCATATTTTGACATGTGTATTTCAGAATTTCCTAAAACAGTAAATACATTGTAACGATGCATTTGCAGGGATGAAAATGAGCCTGCCCAAATAGAAGACTCGAGCGCTGTTAAACCTGATGGCTGGCTCGATGATGAACCAAGATTTATCGCCAACCCTAATGCTCAGAAACCTGATGATTGGTAAGCATTCTTCAGTTCCAGGAAAGGTGCCAAGTGTATCCTGATCATTTACTAATTTTTCTTGCTTCCTGCAAAGGCTGGAGGCTGATATATTACCTCTGCTCTGATAACTTCAGGAGTGACGACATGGATGGCGAATGGGAGGCACCACGCATGCCTAACCCAGCCTGTCAGATTGGCTGTGGCGAGTGGAAGCCACCCATGATAGATAACCCCAAATACAGAGGAGTCTGGAGACCGCCCATGATCAGCAATCCCGACTACCAGGTGAAAACCACTGTCCTGGTTCCATAATAAGGTTGGGTTGTTTTATCTGATCCTCACCAACGTTCTGCTAGCTTTTAGAAGTTCGATTTGTAACTTGTGAAGTCAAAGGAAGTCAACTAATTTAGGTCAGGTAAAGAGGAGGGATCTAGGAAGATCTCCCTGGGAGGGGGAAATAGGATAGATTTTACAGATTAATGGGGGTAGGTAGGGATGGGAATTGGGGGATCACATAGGGAGTGTTGTAGAAGACAGAGTGCAAGAAGAGACTGCTGGAATTGGGGGGACTTTAGGGGTGGAAATCTAGTGCAGTGGGAACTTTCTGGAATCTATAAGGGTGATACTAATAAGGACTCCTAGTAATGGGATACGGAGTCTTAAATGGCCGAGCTGCATTCAGCTGAGTTGTTTGTTGGCCAAGGGAAACCATGGAAATCCCCCAAACAACCCCAACTGTTGCTAAGACAAAGGGTCAGTCTCCAAAAACTGATAAGGGGGCTGGATGTTGCTGAAGACAACACCCACACAACTCATTTAACATGGAGAAATCAAGCTGGTGCCTACATGTAACCTTCACCCCCCACATTCTAGTCTCTTTGGTTTGGGTACATGGAACCTTCACCCCTACATTCTAATCTCTTTGGTGGGAGTACATGGACCCTTCACCCCTACATTCTAGTTTCTTTGGTGTGGATACACAGAACCTTCACCTCTATATTCTAGTCTCTCTGGTGTGGGTACACAGAACCTTCACCCTTACGCTCTAGTCTCTTTGGTGCAGGTAGACAGAATCTTCACCCCTACACTCTGGTCTCTTTGGTACGAGTACACAGAACCTTCACCCCTACATTCTAGCCTCTCTGGTGCAGGTACACAGAACCTTCACCCCTACACTCTAGTCTCTTTGGTGCTTGTGGGGAGATGTACTCTGCAGGCTCCTGAAAGAGAAACCAAGACACCAACCCAGCCACAAAACCTTTGACCTACAATCTGTCTTCCAGAAAAATATGCTAGGGCAATGGTGGCACAGAACTTGGGGTAGTAGCCAATCAATGTCTGATTTGCCTTAAGGCCCACTTCATGAGAAGAAACTCCTACCTGACACTGCTTTAGTGACCAAGAACCAGGAACTAGACAGTCCAGAGACCTAGAGTAAAACCAAAACTATTGGTCTTAAAAAATGAAGTGTCAATTTCAAAAAGAGAAAACATAGCAACCAAGTGGCGTGGTGCACGCCTTTAATCCCGGCACTTGAAAGGCAGAGAAAGGTGGATCTCTGACAGTTAGAGGCCAGCATTATCTGTTACATGAGTTCCAGGACAGCCCTGTCTCATTTTATATATTTCTTCTTCCCAGTAGTCAGTTGATGCTTCCTGTGGAATAAAGTTCTGTTTCAGAAGTAAATAAATGAGATCTTATGGAGAGAACTAACATTGTCCATTTCAGTAGTCAGTGTCTGTGCTTCGTGAACTCCTTATTTATTTCACATTCAAAATTCAGACTTTTTAGACTTTCAGACATTATGGGGTGATCTGGCTTTGCTCCCACTAATTCATTTAACCCTCGAGTGTGCCTTTGTAATGACTCTTTGATGTCTCTCACACTGTGCAGATGTGGTTATAGAGTCTAATTCTTCACTCTAGTCTTTCTTCATAGCATTCAGTGTGTGTGTGTGTGTGTGTGTGTGTGTGTGTGTGTGTGTGTTTGCCCTTCATCTTACCATTTTTGAGACAGTGTCTGTCATTGAACCTGGAGCTTTCTAATTCAAGTGGACCAGCTGCCAGCAAACTCCAGGGTCACGGTGTCCCCGTCTTCCCAGGTATGGGATTACAGGCCTGTCCTGCAGGATCAGCTTTCTAAATGGTGCTGGAGCCTAAACTTGGGCCCTCATTCCTCACACAGGGGCAAGCTCTTTGCCAACTGAGCCATCTTCCTGCCCCTTAAAAAGAGTTTTTCTTTTCCTCTTCATTTGTTTAGTGGCATAACTTTATTTAAAGTGTTTTCATTTGTTGTTTCTTCCAGGGGATCTGGAGTCCTCAGAAAATCCCTAACCCAGATTATTTTGAGGATGATCACCCATTCCTTCTGACTTCTTTCAGTGCTCTGGGCTTAGAGCTTTGGTCCATGACTCCCAACATCTACTTCGATAATTTTATCATCTGCTCAGAAAAGGAGGTAGCAGATCGCTGGGCTGCCGATGGCTGGGCATTGAAGATAATGGTGGCAAAGGCTAATGAGGTACAATAGTGACTGTGGGCGGGAGCCCTGGGGCCCCAGCCCTGGCTGTGGGTGTACACAGGTGCAATAGTTACTAAACACCAAGGAGGTGTGCTTGAATAGAATTTACAGACAATTTAGCTTTGCTGTGTAGACTCTACAGTGAACTCATCTTGCAGAAGCCTGTGTCCTCATTCCCTCTTTAAATCACGGTGGCTTTAATGAGATTCAAAGCCTACTTGTGGTTTAGAGCAATAAGAAATGCTTCTTTGTGTTCTCATGTTGGCAGTGCAAGCCTAAGTGTTAACAGTAATCTATATGCATTTCAAGATTTTCCCTTAGAGAAGTACCAAGAACTCTAAATTCAGCATCATTGTTTGTGTCAACTGCAGAGCTATGTGCTCCGGCCCAGCTGGCCTGGGAGCCCCCAGAAGCTGTCTCCACTTCCTCTTTACCGTGTGGGCTCTGGGATTATAGGTGCAGGCCACTGCAGCCAGCGTTTACGTGGGTGCCAGCTTTGGACCTGTGCATTGGGCAGCTTTATCTGCCGAACCGTCCCCCTCGCCATTTGCTTTCTTTAGCTACTTGATTGTTACAAGTAAAGTATGTTATGACCTTAGATTTTATGTTACTAAAATAAAATTCATGCACAAAGGTCACTTGACAAATTGTTCATATGAAAAGAAGAAGACAATAATACCTGAGTGATTTTATTAATAAGTTCTTTAAATAGCAGAATATATTATCAAACGTGTCTTTTTCTTCTTTTTTTATTTTTGGTGTGTGTAGTGTGTATGTGTGTATTGTAATGTGTGTATGTATGTACTGTGTGTAGTGTGTATAAGTTTATGTATGTAGTGTGTGCATGTGGTATGTTATGTATGTAGTGTGTGTAGTTGTATGTGTGTAGTGTGTGTATAATGAGTGTGTGTGTACTGCATGTAGTGTGCATGTAGTGTAGTATGTATAAGTGTATGTAGTGTGTACAT